CGCGCCGACACCGTGAAGACGTGGCAGCCCGGCGGGTTGTTCTCCTTCACGAACACCGTGTACTCGGGCTGCGCGAAGGCGGGCGCGTTGTCGTTCACGTCGGCCACCTCCACCGCCACGCTGGCCGTGGCCCACCGCGAGGGCGAGCCCCCGTCGCGCGCGGTCACCACCAGCTGGTAGGCCGACACGCTCTCGCGGTCCAGGGCGCCGTCCAGCACCAACGAGTAGTAATTCTTGAAGGTGGGCGCCAGCTTGAAGGGGACCTGGGGCGTCAGGGAGCAGGTGACCTGTCCGTTGGCGCCGGAGTCAAGGTCAGTAACGCTAATCAGGGCGATAGCTGTCCCTAGTTGTGCGTCTTCTTTTATAGGAAGCAATAGCGTTTTGACAGTCAACTGTGGAGCGTTGTCATTAGCGTCCACAACTTCCACAAGAACTGTACAATGGCCAGCCAGTGGTAGGGGGCCTTTATCCACAGCCTCTATTTGGATCTTGTGCGTTGCACTTTCTTCAAAATCAATCCGTCCTACCACCGTAATTTGCCCACTTACGGGGTCTATGTGGAACTTGGATTTGATCTCTGAAGAAGCATCACTGGAGAAGGAGTAAATAATGTCCCCATTCAACCCTTCGTCTGCATCCGAGGCATTGGGGCTAATCACCCGCGTTCCGATAGACACGTTTTCTGGTAATTTCACCGTGTAGAGAGATCTGTCGAACACGGGGGCATTGTCATTGGCATCCAGGACGGTGATGAGTAGCTGGACGGTGCCCGTCAGTTCGGGCTTGCCCCCATCGGCGGCCGTGAGCAATAAGTGGAGCTCTGGAGCTTCTTCCCTGTCCAAAAGTTTCCGCAACACGAGTCCAAGAGGTTTTACCTGCTGGTCGCCGGCTGGTACGTCCAGCGAGAAATGCTCGTTCGGGCTCAGTCTGTAACTCAGCCGAGCGTTCTCCCCGATATCCGCGTCGGACGCGCCCTCTAGTGGAAACCGAGAGTCGAGCAGCCTGGATTCCGCAATGAACAGATTCTTTTGTGTAGCTGGGAACACGGGCGGGTTGTCGTTAATGTCCCTCACCTCCACCTCCACGTGGAAAACCTGCAGCGGCCGCTCCACGATCACCTCCAGGTGGATGCTGCACTCCAAGCTCCGCCCGCACAGCTCCTCGCGGTCGATCCGAGAATTCACAAACAAAATGCCGTTCTGCAGATTCACCTCCAGAAGGTCCCCACCGCCTTTGGAATCCAACTGGAACGGGCGCTGCACCAGCTCGCCCAGCTCCAGCCCCAGGTCCTGCGCGATGCGGCCCACGAAGGTGCCATGTTTGGCCTCCTCCGGGACCGAGTAGTGGAGCTGGCCGCTCCCCGCCTCCCAGGCTGCGACGAGCAGAAGCGAGAGCAGCAGATGCCGGGCCTCCTGGTCTCCTCGATCTGGGTACAACATTTCAAATACTCGGTGTTTTTACAGTTAGTGAAAATTGCCTCTAATAGGAGAAATCATCTGAATTCGTCCGTCTCATCCTGCTGTGTTCGCCATTGTTCAGCACAGAGAGTAAAAAAGAATGAACGTCTTTCCCACGGGGAAAAAGAATGGCTGTATTTGTCTTGGTTCAAGTAGAACATCGTGGCCAAGAGTGACATCACGCGGCCCAAAGTGTAAGTACAAATTCCATGAATAAACATTTTACCATTATGCTGCAAAACTTGTTTCATTCTCTGAATTTTTTCTTAATTAATCATTGTTGAAATAGAATGCCTTCTTCTTGTTGCTGGAGGCGTTCTTAGAGTACTGACCACGTCTTAAAGCTTTGTATGACTTTGTGGCTTTTTCATGCCAGAGAAAATGCTCCACATAATTTTAAAATAATGATGAATATGAAGTGGCAATAAAAATTATGTCGTTAAACAACCACACATCTTAAATTAGAAAATTATGTTCTGTTGGAATTCAGTATCTCCCACATGGTTCTTTCTAGGATTCTGTTATAAGAGAATCCACCAGTCGCTATCCCTAGTGAATATAAAAACGCTGCAGTCCATTAATGAAAAATAAATTTGCTCATGTCTGAGAAAAGGAATTAAGAAAAATGAGCAACCAGTTGAAGTCATTTTCTTTGGTGGTTTTATGAATGGAAGGTGTACACAATATGTTTTAGAAAGTAAGGATTTCCTTTAGGATCTTGCATGGGGAGAAAATATTTTATAGCTTTTTTGGTATTAGCATTTATATAATCTCTTTCCAGAAATGTGTTTTATTTCTGCATCTATAGTTTTATTCTTTCCAATTCTTGTCATTATAGTTTGTATTTGTATTATCATATTTTAGTTTAATTGCTATTCATCTCAGGTAGTTAGGGAAATTTCTGTTTTTAAAGACATGCTTGGGATTCCTTTCCTGTCTAGGTTCTACAAATCTCTCTTGTGAGTTTTATTATCATATTCTAAAGGTCAAGTAAATCAATTAAATCTAGATTTGAGTGCTTCTAAGTCTAAAGGCAAAATTGTGACTTCATTGTGCCATTGACATTTTTTGCATATGTATCTTTTCTTTCCTATTCTTCTTTAATAAACGTAGAGGCACTTTTACCAATTGCTGCAATCCTTGATGGTTGCAGCAGCCTCCTAGTTTCTCTGCATTCTGTCTTATTTTTAAAGCCATGATTTATTTTGTTCAAAATATTTTTTTATGTATCCATCTTTAATTAGGTTCTTTTGAAGAAATTTAGAAGACTAATTCATGAGGATTAACACCATTCATCAGGGCAAATACGGATCACAGGTAGCGCTGGAGTTGAGGAATAGCTTTGATTTTTGGTAAGATTTGTGAGTCCACAGCTTTCTGTTCAACCTTGCACTGCTCTCTATTCTCATATTTCTCTTTTTCTGTGTCAAAGAGCTCACCCTCCTGGTGCCTGGGTTTCCACAGTCTCTTCTTCTTGAAGTAAGCATCAGTAGGATATTTTGGGATTTTCACATTGCTGATATCAATTTTTGTGGAGGTAGCAATGACAAATTTCTGGTGTGTTCTTCTCAGAGAAACTTGATGGAGAACCAGAGGTTCAGTCACAAGCAACAAGCCAAAGCCCAGTGAGGAAAACCACCCTCTTGCCCCTGTGGTGCCCAGTGAGGATGATTAGGATGGTCTTGGGAGTAATGCTGGCTCACAGTTTTCTAACATGCTGGCTGAAGAGCTTTTTGTCATGGCTTAACAGCTTTTAGGCACATCTTCAGTATGATAATATCTAGGCATTTTGTGAAGTTTAACAGCTTGGGTGCCACTATTCTTGTCACCACCAACTGGTTTTGTAATGGTTGCAAGAACCTTCTCCTTTTTTCTTTTTTCTTTTTCTTTTCTTTCTTTCTTTTTTTTTTCCCCCCCTCTCTTTACAACCTTGGATTTAGCTGCTGAGTACTTCCTCTTGTACAAGGACTTTCTGGAATACATAGCAGATTGGGAATATCTTCCAATTCCTCTGACGAGGACAGGATTTGGCTGCAGTGAGGTTTCCTCTTCTTTGGCTTTTTAACCTTGAGGTTACCCTTTTTCACCTTGCCACTGGCATCAGCCTTCTTGGCTTCAGGTTTCTTCTCCTTAGTATCTGGCTTCTCAACTTTTTTGCCCGCCATCTTGCAGGATGGGAAAGCTGTTCAAAAAATGTTGGTGGCTCCCAGTTAAATGTAAAAGAGGACAAATTACTTAATCTACTCAAGATCACTTAGTTTAGTATTCAAACTCGAGAGGTTTTCTCACATTATTTGTCTCTGCCTTTATTCTATGCAAATCATATTTTCCCATGTTTCCAATCATATTGATGCTGTTCTGTGTCTTGAATTTCACTCATGTTTCTTCTTCACAGAAACATCTAGTATTCTTAGTACCCTCCCTGGGGGGAGAACCTTATTCACTTAAAAACCATTGGAAACATCATATCCCTTAAAGTATGCCTTCACAAATTCAAATAGGAAGTTATTTTTCAACTCCAAACTTAATATAATTTACTTCTCCTGTATCTGTTATATCTTGCTTTTCATTGTGTGACTCATTCTTTACTTTATCTCAAACTTTTGAGGTCAGAGGCAACGTCTTGAAAATCCAGTGATTCCTGTGGATGTCTTAGACATCCACAAGGATCCACAGTGTAGATTGGTGACTATAGTCTTCTCTGCTCACGAAGAAAGGATATTTTTTAAGTTATTCTATATGACTGTCTAGAATAGACAGTGATTTACTTTCTTTTTTAGTAGGACTACAACATATTGATTTTAAATCATCATCAAAATATTGCATACTTCTCATTAAGAAAAACACTATGTAACAGAAAGATACACACAAAGATTTCAGTCACCCACTCAGACCCCTAAGGATACAGGAAACTTGTAAATATAACAAACATACAACTATCAACATGAGATAATCTAGACTTTTCTTGAGGGAACTTTAACTTTTGCAGGTCCAAAACCTTTTTTCCCACAGAGATGCTGTTAATTTGACTTCCGAAACTTTTAAAAACTGATTTTAGACTTTTTTTTCATTCTAACACATAGCATTCAAAATACTGAGACATCCTGGGTTAATATGAAAATGACATCACAAAAGCTGATTTTTACACAAAATAAGATTAATACAGAGGTCACAATGACTTTCTGATATTTTGGATTTTATTCTTGCAGTCCCTAACTTAACTGAACTTTATTATATATTTATCACTTGTCAGACTTTAGTATTAACTTACTTGATTTTTTAAAAATCTATGCAGTAGATTTTATATTTATCATGCATCCATCTAAAACCCCAAAACTGAATAGCAAAAGCTCTCCCAAGGTTACATATAGAAAAATTGGTAGACAGAGGATTAGATCCAAGGAGCTTCAAAACCCACACTACTTCAAAACCCACACTACTTAATAACTAATTTTTGATGTATTTCTGTTTAAGAAATAGTTAATAGTTAAAAAGCATTACCATGGTCAGAATAGCAAAAGTATTATTAACATACAAGAAATTGGTTTAGACTCCCTCACTGTGAAAAGGATGTTCCATAATGAAATTAAAATGTGAATTCCATAGCTGGGGGAACACAGAGCTAAGATAATTAAAGTTATGTGTTGCCAAGTTTAATGCCAGGTGGTGGAAAGAGCCCTTTTTCCTATTCATGGTTTCTTTTAAGAAAACCAGTTAAACACTGAGGAGGAGAGATCAGTAAGTAAATGTATACCTGAGGACCAGGTACACATAGACAGACTAGGCAACATGAGAGTAAGATTACTGTTACAAAGGAAAAACTCCACATTCTGTTCAAACAGTACAATAAAGTACATTGGAAAGAACGAAGTCTTTAGAGTTGAGGACTAAATTAAAATGATTCACTTTATGTAATGTGTTTTTCCCCCCTCCCTCCCCCTGATAATGTGTTTTTAATAGCCAAATAAAATGCTAAACATGGACAGGCATTATGAGAAACGTAAAATCAACCACAAAATAAGTCTGCTTTCAGATTACTTTCAGTTGGGGTAGGGAGTAAAATGTGATGATAAATCATTACACTACAGGTTCAAAAGTGATAAAAAGATGAAAACTATGTTAATAACAAACTATAAAAATTCAGAGTCCCAGAAACCCTTTATTCTCTTCCATTAAGTTCCGTCATTCTGTCCAAAGTAATATGCTCAAACTCTAATGGGAATTTAATATTACGGCAAGTCAAATAGTAACAAGAAGCAAAGGTAAAAAGACAAGAAGAACCAAAAAGAAAAGAAAAGGTTGAAAAACAACAAAATCAATTATCTTAGTTTTTCAAAGATTTATTCTAGAATGATAAATAATTTTAAATAAGTTAATGGGCCTTGATCATCTTGAATATTCTGTGTAATGAAAATTTAAAAATTAAACATGTAGTCTACAAGAATAAAAGGACAATGTACGGTTTTTCTAATCAAAATATGTTTCTGTTATATATTAAATATCACTTCAATGTAAAACTTTATTGATAATATTCCAACTCATGTACAAAGGATTGATAGTATGATTAGACGTTAGTAGATATTTCTCAGATTAAAAGCAATTTTTTTCTAAACATAGATGGCCAAAAAATGTTAACTTTTTGACAAGATGACTGTAAAAACTTATCTGATGGCAAAAAACGTATCTCCCAATAATAAGACAATCTAAATAATATTGGGTTAAATAAGCATTACATACTTATTCCTTCTGGGTTTCATTTTTAGCTGATTTACAATAAAATTAAAAAGAAAATGAAAACCATGAAATTTTGAAGAGAAATTATTATTCTGTACTTTATCACTAAACTGCTTAAAACAGCAGTAGAAAGACACTAAAGATATATGTGACTACCAGACACTAAAAAGACAAATAATAAGGTGGATGATCTGAGACTTTTGAGAGATTAAAAAAACCCCATGAGAACAAAATAACACTTAAGATATGAATTTCAAAGTACAGCATGTTTAGTGAGATGAAGGGTTCACCAACAATCACAAAAGAACAAATGCTTTGTAGGAACACATTTCCCCAACCATCCAAATACCTTGGATCCCGTTGGAGTATTGTTTAGAAAATTGTAAGGTAAGTCAAAACCAACGTTCAGTACAAAAAGAAAATATCCAACCATACCTTCAATTCCAGGACAAACTCATCTGGGGAGAATGGTTAATAGTGTATTACTAAAAATGCTTAAATATGAAAACAATGTATGAATTTTGACTAAACTACATTGAAATAAAATATGTAAAACTAAAATATGTGAAATATTTTAATTGAGTTTCACAAATAGAATTTTAGTATCTAAAACAAAGGAACTTACTTTGAAGCAGTGATCCGCATGTAAATCTTGCTGTTCTCCCACATCCGCTGATCCCACGGAGGGTGGAAGGCTGGGACTGAAGGCCATGAGGTCGGTCTTGGGCGGGCCCTCCCCAGAGCACACCCTCTGCCGCCTCGGCCGCGAGGACGACCAGCTCCCCGCCGCGCTGGAGCACACCAGCGGGGGCTTGCCCGGCCCGCACGCGCCCTCGGGGGGCGGCGCCGAGCACCGCAGCGCCGTGTACAGCAGCAGCGTCAGCACCAGCAGGCTGGACACCGCGCAGATGGCCACGATCAGGTACACGTTGACGTCC